CAGCAAGCGTGTTAGATAGGAGTAAATGGAGACGAATGGTTTTTGGGACTTGACGAGCTGTTGGAGTGTGAGCAGGGTAATATTTAGTGAAGGGATTCAGGGAAACCGGTTATTATAGATGTAGCCAGACTTGAGTCCTGGAAATGAGAAGTACAGTGCCTGCACTTTAAAGGAGGGTTTTGGGATATTGACAGTTTGGAGGGACTTCTAAACTGTTGTATCTGAGCGCATCTGCAAAGACAGTGATTATGTATGAGTGAGGTGAAAATGTTGAATGATAATGACAGTATTTTTTTTGGGGGGGGGGATTTTTTTTCTTTTTGGGTCACCCTGCCTCAGTGGGAGATAGTTGACTTGTTAAAAAAAAAAAAAGTTAATTTTTTCTTATCCTCAGGGTGTATATATTAGTTTCAGCTGTATCATCAAACAAACTAAACAGGGATATCTGTTTAATGTCATCCATATGCTAGCCATACCTAGCAGCCTCCCTTGGCTTTTCAGTATTGAGCACATAAGTAAACATGAAACAATATATAGGGTATGCTACCAATCAGAAAGTCCTTACAAGGAAGCTAATGACCATATGTAGTAGATTTAAAGGATGTAAAATTTTTGTTTAATTCTTTTGATCAAGAAAGATTGTGGAGCAGTGCTGAATGGTCCCCACAGGTTTATTTTTTTTTTTTTTTTTTTTTTTTTTTTGGTTTGTGTGTGTGTTTATAAGTTTAATAATTCAAGAATGACAGTACATGTTAGGTGTCGTGGTGGATAATTGAAGATTGAAGTGCAGTATGATGTAAAAAGCTGTTTTCAAGAATTTCACAGTACTAGTACCTTGGCTTAACCCTAGTCAACTATAAGGTGCATTAGTCAGGGTGGAAGATAGATGGGAATAGTAGGAAAAAGGGGGCACAGGAGGCTTGGAGTTTTAGGGGCTTGAGCATCCAGCAGCCTTGTATGAGCATATTAGTAAATGGAGACAAGTGTTTTCTTAATGGATGTGCTGTTGGAGTGAGAGCATGGTAACCAGATTTTGAGTCTGGTTAACCCCAGACAGGTTAGCTTCACTTGAGTCCTGGAAGCTGGAAAGGCAGTGCCTGCACTCTGAAGTAGTAGGGATGTTGGAGTGGTAATCTGATTATGATGTCAGCATATCTCTGGAAAGACAGCAGTTGAGGGAATGTTAGTGAATGTGTTTTCTTCTTTGTATCACCCTGCCTTGGTGGGAGATGGTCATTGTGTTTAAGAAATGTTGGGGTATTGCTGAAGATGTTATTTCACCATCAAAAAAAAAATTGTTTGCTGTGTACATTTGAATAAAACGAAAACTCTTTCCTTGACACGCTTTTCGTGATTAGTGTAGTATGTACAGTGGCACCTCGGTTGTCATTTGCCCTGGTTTTCATCGAATTCGGTTTTTGATGACTCTTTTTCATCAAAATATTGTCCCAGTTTTCGTTCATCACCTTGGTTTTCATCCACCATACTGAATGTGTCCTCCTGCCCACGCCCACACAAAGCATCCCACACACACATTCCGAGTCAATCCAGCTTTGTTTTTCGTCGAGTGAACATTACTCTGCGCATTCATATGAAACATTTCATAGTAATCCATTATTTTTGGTGCTTGTTTATCGAGTTTAACTGCTAAATAAGTCACCATGGGGCCAAAGAAAGTTCTGAGTGCCAGTCCTTTGATAAAGAAGGTGAGAAACACGATAGAATTCAATGGTGGTACAGGGTGGTAGTGATGGTGGTAGAGGGTGGTATTGATTGTGGTAGAGGGATGGTAGCAATGGTGGTAGAGATAACCTCTCCTCCCTCTCCCCTCCTTGCTGTCTTCCATATGCCAACAAGAGTCTTCAGTGAAAGTAAAAGTGATTTAAATGTTCATTTATCCATTTCATTAGTGCTTTATATTTATTTCTCATTGTTTTCTGTATGTAAAACTATAGTTATTCTCTATAAAATTGTATTTTTTGTTAATATTTTTGGGTGTCTGGAATGGATTAATTGGATTTACATTACTTCTTATGGGAAATATTGCTTCAGTTTTCATCAAATTCAGTTTTCGTCAGACTCTGTGGACCGAATTAATGAAGAAAGCTGAGGTTCCATTGTATTATTATCAGTGGCAGCTCGTAGCGCCAATAATACCTATACTATCGTACCACATCAAACTTCTATTTTTAATAATTTTTTATCTTGTTTCAACAAAAGAATAAAAAATTTGCTTATAAATACATTGAAAACAACATACAGCAGATTTTTCCTGTAATTTTTTTTTTTTTTTCAACAAGTCGGCCGTCTCCCACCGAGGCAGGGTGACCCAAAAAAGAAAGAAAATCCCCAAAAAAGAAAATACTTTCATCATCATTCAACACTTTCACCACACTCACACATTATCACTGCTTTTGCAGAGGTGCTCAGAATACAACAGTTTAGAAGCATATACGTATAAAGATACACAACATATCCCTCCAAACTGCCAATATCCCAAAGCCCTCCTTTAAAGTGCAGGCATTGTACTTCCCATTTCCAGGACTCAAGTCCGACTATATGAAAAATAACCGGTTCCTGAACCCCCTTCACTAAATATTACCCTGCTCACACTCCAACAGTTTCGTCAGGTCCCAAGTTTCATTCGTCTTCATTCACTCCTATCTAACACGCTCATGCACGTTTGCTGGAAGTCCAAGCCCCTCGCCCACAAAAACCTCCTTTACCCCCTCTTTCCAACCCTTTTGAGGATGACCCCTACCCTCCTTCCTTCCCTATAGATTTATATGCTTTCCATGTCATTCTACTTTGATCCATTCTCTCTAAATGACCAAACCACCTCAACAACCCTCTTCTGCCCTCTGACTAATACTTTTATTAACTCCACACCTTCTCCTAATTTCCACACTCCGAATTTTCTGCATAATATTTACACCACACATTGCCCTTAGACAGGACATCTCCACTGCCTCCAACCGTCTCCTCGCTGCTGCATTTACCACCCAAGCTTCTCATCCATATAAGAGTGTTGGTACTACTATACTTTCATACATTCCCTTCTTTGCCTCCATAGATAACGTTTTTTGACTCCACATATACCTCAACGCACCACTCACCTTTTTTCCCTCATCAATTCTATATTTGTCAGTTGCAAATTATTTTAGTGTAAGGTTGATGAAGTCATACGTCTGGCAGTGAGCATCTGGGGGGACTGCAGCTCCTGTGGATGAGACGCCACTGATTATCAAAACTAAGTGCTAAACCACCAGGGTCAAACAGTGATTAGTGTAGTAATGAGTATATGGATGCTCATTGGTAGGTTTCCTGTACACACCCAATTTAGAGTTGTTCTCCTTGTAAGAGGATACTGGTGAAGGACTTTTATTCCAAGGAATCTGAGCTACCCTCCTCTTCCTCAGCTGAAACTCGATTGCCTCCCATACCCTAAGTGTTGTATGGCCTTAGCCCTTATGGGTTTAATACCTTTCTGCGAGTTATTTATTTTATTTTTTTTTTTATTATCACACCGGCCGATTCCCACCAAGGCAGGGTGGCCCGAAAAAGAAAAACTTTCACCATCATTCACTCCATCACTGTCTTGCCAGAAGGGTGCTTTACACTACAGTTTTTAAACTGCAACATTAACACCCCTCCTTCAGAGTGCAGGCACTGTACTTCCCATCTCCCGAACTCAAGTCCGAGTATAATGACAATATTCAAGAGGAATACTGAGGGCTTAGGACCCTATTGTGTGTGAATGTGCACATTACACCCTGCACAGCAGACAGTATATGTTAAAATAGGGAGTCTCAAGGCAAGAAGAAAGGTGAGTTAATTTTTATTTACTATAACAACCCTTGTCCTGCTTCTCTCATTAACATCAGTATATTGTACTCCAGTGGCTCTGTCGACCTACTTACGTGTACCATAGTAATCGATGAATACAGGGGTAACCCTGATTTATATGGATATGTAACCCTAGGGTTTGTATGTCGTGCAACATTAGGCAGATCTCTAATGTTGTAAACCATTGCCATTTGCTTTGCAAGATTAGCTACATTGATCAGACTTCTAGTATTCTAAGCCTACTGCCTTCATTTCAGGTTTGTTGGTAGGATTCCTTTAAGTGCTTCATCAGAACCATTTCACAGAACACTGTTTTGAAAATGAAAAAAATATTTCAGTGATAGGTTCAGTGACTGGCAATCCCCACCACCCATGGCAGCTACTTTTTCAAGTGCTACAAATGATTGTTCCAGCTCAGGGACCAAACTTGTATAGGCATAGAAAGTGGGACTCTGAACCAATCGCAGAAAGATTTTTTCATTCTTCAGAATATGTAGTAGTAATGAGATGTTTAATGCTGTTGGAGAGTCAAGAAGCTTGAAAGATTTGTAACTGTAATATGTACAGTAATGAAAATGTCAAGCATTAAGCAGAAAAACAATTAAGTTAGAAGAGCCTGACTGATGCAAGAATTATTTGCATAAGCATTAATGGAATGGGGAAATAAAATCATTGTGCGTGTTCCCCAGGCTTTGGACCCCAGACGTGAGAAATACTATACTATTTTCATGTGGCAGATTTAAGTTTTTTTAATGCCAGAATATTTTAATTTAATATAATTATAAGGCAGAGTTTATTTAAACTTGGTTTCTCATTTTTACTTCTTGAGAGGTCATCTCAATGTGCCAACATTTTATCATAGAATGGCTAATCATATTGCAGTGTTTCTAATGTACATTGTGTGTGTGGGGGGGGGGGGCTAGTGCTGGCACTTTGGAAGAGGGGTGGGGATGTTGCTGTTAAAGAATAATCCTAGTGTGATGTCAGTGCACTTCTGGAAAGAAGGCACATGGATGACTGATGGTGAATGTGCATTTTTGTGTCATCCTACCTTGGTGAGAGATGATAATTGAGTTTTATAATTTATTCAGGTGTGTTAAATTTAAAGATGTTTAATTTTTTATTGACTATAACACACAAATTTTTATCAATAGAACAAGGAGTGGATCAGCACACTCTCCTAGAAGGTCCCAAAGACGATCTCCTAGGCATTCTCCTCTTAGATCAGTTCCAAGAGTATCGCCACGCTCACCAAGACGATCTCCAAGGCGCTCTCCTAAACCAGTTAAGAGAGTTAAAAAGGTACATGGTTCGCGATCACCTACCCGTGGTCGTGTTCATAAAAGGACATATTCTAGCAGCTATTCAAGATCATCTTCCAGTAGTAGTGGCTCTTCATACTCCAGAAGCTACTCTTCATATTCTCGTTCATCATCAGGCTCATCTTCGTCATCATTTACAAGTTCTTCATCCAGTTCATCTGGATCCAGAAGAAAACGATCATATTCACCTGCACCCCGAAGACCTAAGTCTTATTCTGGATCCCCAAGAAGGGCAAGGGTAAGTAGAAGGCCGCCACCTCCATCAAATCCATCACAGGTACGTATGAAGCAAGTCACCCATCAGGAGACTACAAAGAAACTTGTTACCAAGACTGTAAGTAATGTTGTCATAAAGTCTCGAAATACTGCTTCAAAAATGCCAAAATTGAAAAACAAGGTAAAAGTTAAAGAAGGGGAGAGTGCAGTACGGAGGAAAGCACGTCCCCCTGTTCCCTTAGCAACAAGTAATTATTATAATGAAAATAATGAAGTTGTAAAAGAGCCACCAGTATATAGGGGCCCGGGCACTCCTCCACGTGTGGCCACTGAGGGCCGTCACTTACTAGATCCTCATCACTATAAAGTTGTACCACCTGACCATCCAGATTATCATCAACCTCCACCTCCACCAAGGGAATCACCAAGATCAGAAGGTGAAGACACAGATTCTGATTCATCATCAGAGGAGGATGATGGGCCTCGAAAAATGACACTTTCAGAAAGATTTGGAAAACTTGCCCAACTGAGTTCACAGCGACAAGAATATGAAGGAGTGCGAATGAAGATAGTGCGTGAAGGTGGGCAAGATAAGAAAGTTTATCTTGAGGCAGGACGGCTGCAATCTAGGTCACCTTCCCCAAGTGGTAGAAGTCGTGCAAACCACCCAGCTCATGAGAGGTGGTTGCAGGAACACCAAGCTGAATATAGAGAATATCAGGAACGTTATGGAGAGATAAGACAGTGGGATCCCCATCGTGATCTTCCTCGAGAATTACCACAAAATTGGGATGATGTTCATGTCAGATATCGTTACTATAAAGAATCGGGTTATTTTGGGGATAGATCTATTACTCTTGATGACTATCTTAAATGGGAGCAATGGTGGTACCGTTATCGAGATTGGTTGGAGAAGTATGGAAGTAGCCAAGACTTGGAGGATAGAGACTGGCAGTATCGGGCTTCTAGCTATGAATATGAAGGTCGTGGTGGAACTACTACTGGGCTAGGAGGCAGGTGGGCCCGGCGGGAAACTTCACGAGAAGCAGATGACAGAAAGAGAAGACGCTATTAAAGTCTATTTAGGTTTTCTTACCTACGTTATTATTTTGAGAAAACATTTTGTAATTTTCGTATTTGAATTATTCTTTATCGTTTACTAGTTTTTTAGGCTTTCTCTTATGTATACAGTACATATAATGCAAATACAAACATTTGCATGGAATAGGTAATTTAATATTTAAATGTTTAATTATACTGTGCAACAAAAACATTAATTTTTATGGTTTTAATATATTAGTTTTTTTTTTTTGTTAAGTGCTGTTTCATATGAAAGTTTTTTGGGTAGTGTGGTATTTTTTTTTTCAGGGTAGCGAAAATATTTGAAAATTTTTTTGACCCCTGTTTATGCATTTGATTATGAAAATACAGTATCACAAAGGGAATTTCAAATTTTTAAATTTATTGTTGGGGATAAAAAAATCATTATAAAATGACCAAAAGAAAAGTTTTGAGTCTTCATAAGTACATTTTTTTTTTTTTTTTTTTTTTTTAAAACAAAAATCAACTTCATGGGGCCCTGTAATTTTATTACATGGCTTTCATCTGTGGCATACTCCCCCAAGACTTTTTCCTAAATGGAACAGGCTTTATTTTAGGTTTTTGGCATATGCTGTAAAAAAACAAAATTCCACCCATTTTTTGCTTTCAATGGAATTTGATATTTTTATTTTAGTTTGGCAGTATGTATCGGTAAACTTTCTTAAATTTTAGTAAAATTTAAGTGTTTACTAGAAGATTTTGCATTGAAAAAATGGCATGTAGAAAACTTTTGGTATCCTTTAAGCCATTATTACAAAATTTTAAATTATAAACTTGGATAGGTCTACCATGTATGCATGTGTGTTGGTCACACCTCAAACCCTGTAAAAGATTTTTTTTATAATGGTAACATTAAAGGACACGAATCTACCATTTATACTTAACCACTGAACCCCTCCAAGCAAATAAAAAACGTTTTTACCTTTGCATTTTATGTACAAATTTACTTCAGTGAAAAAGTTTTGGGGAAAGCAGGTCAAAAAATTTTTTTCTTGAGCCTAATTTTTCTATTTGTAACTTTTTAAAGTTGAGAAACCTGGCAAAGTTTTATTTTTTTTATGATTTTAATTGCCTTCAAAATAAATTTAAAAGTGTCTGATTGCTTTAAAAAAAACAAGGTACCTACTACAGAAAATGCCTTGTTTTTGGAGTTTTTATCTCAGTAAGCTTCCTAAAGGGCATTAAAAACATGAGCCCCAAATCTGATTTACATTAAGTAATAGGATGTGAATCTTCTTTTAACCTCTTTAAAATTTTTTTTTTTTCCCCTTTTCCAAAATATGCTGCTAAATCAGATTTTTAAGTGGTCGGGTGATTTGTGATGTATGCTACATGGAGTTTTCCCAAACGCCTTCTTTTTTTGTATGTTCCATTACTTGTGAGGTTGGGTCCATTTGTACAACAGGGTTAAGACTTAACGAAACTAAACCCCTCCATGCAGTAAAAAAAAAAAAAAAAAAAAAAGTTTTGAAAAGTCTGTTAAATATAAAACCCTAGTGGTAGTGGGCTTTAAATAATAAAATTTTTAAATTTTTTCTTATTAAAATATTTAAAATATTTAAAATTTTATCTTCTCACTTTACTTGACTAACTTTGTTCATGTGTTGTTCTCTTTTCCCATTTTTTCTAAACTTTTTTAAAAATAAAGGTCCCCCATGTAGCCACCCAAAAACTATCTTAAGAATTTTTATTATTCATCATGAAAAAAAAATGTAGGTTTTGAACCCTTTTCATAATTATTTGAATATAGTGGATATAATGAAAAGAGTTTTACAATTTAATGTACTCTAATTTAAAAAAAAAAAATTAAAAAATTAAAAGACCTTGTTGCCCTTATTTTTTTTCCACTGTTTTTAAATTTTTAGGGGTTTTCCTTGATGGGACTAAACATCTAAAAAACTTTTTCAGCAAGTCTATCAGACCCCCCGCCATTGTTGGTCTAATTTTATATTTTTCCATTCTTAGGGGGTATTTACTGTTAAGCAAATGGTTACTTTCCCCCCAAGGGAGCTTCCTGATGGGTGAGGGGCTCTTGACTAGGGGAATTTGGACTGTGCTCCTTCCCTGAATTTTAAGTTGAATAACCCTTCATCCCCCCCCCCCCCCCACATGCCCCGTATAATCCTTTGGGTTTAGCACTCCCCCCCCATGAAAATATAATATGTTACTTACCCCTTGATGTTCTGATGCCCTGGCATTTGGGCATTATTCAGGGAAAAAATCCCGAGCTTTTCAGTCTCTGATGGATGAAAATGGGGGTTTTTTGCTGCATGTAGTTGACACACAAGGAACCCGCTTGTATTGACTCCCAAAAATTTGAACCAATAACACTGCCTATGCAGGTCCCTCCCACTTTTAAAAGAGTATGGATTACAATCTATACTGGACAAAGTTGTAAGATTACCAACAAGTAGCAGTACTAGAGACAGGGTAGAAACGTCCATTCACTCCTGTCTTGCTTAATGAGCAGTCATCATGTCTGCAAGCCATCCAAATCCTTGTGGATAACACTATGAATGGACAAGGTCACAAGGTCACCATCACTACACTTGACTGAATCCAGTACAGGGCCAAAGATCCACAAAGCACTTATATGAGTCTTCAATGCTCCCATGCTAGGTGTCTTGCCAGATGCTGGGACATCATTACACGATGTTTCCTGAAGCGATATTCCTTGACTGCCTCAAGCCATACTACCCAAACTAAACTGCCACCCTTGGCTTTCAAAATGTATGCTTGGGCCAACCCTAGGATCTTTTGTCAAAGATGGCAAAAAAGGAACACTGATCAAGTGCTCTGGACATGTGAGAATGTCATGTCTCTACGACATTTAAAAATTTGAGGTCCTAGACCTGATGGGTCAAGGTCTCATGGCTCAACATCAAGCTATCGATGACTTTGATGTCACAAGGGCCTGATGCTATAATTCTGGGGCCTCTCCTAACATGGGAGTCAGCTAAGCAACCCTTCTTGTCCCCCCACTTAGTGGGGATGCCAACAGTCATGACCTTGGGGTTAGGCACTCTGTGGAGAGAGGCCAGTAGAATAAAATTCCACCCCAAAGTGCCTGTTGCACTTATTTTGTATCTGTATATGCCAAATTTGATATTTTTTGGAGAAATTCTGGCCTTTCAAGGGGAGTCCACTGGCATGGAAAGGGGCTCTTGATCCAAGGAATTATATCTTGTCCCCTTGAATCAAATCTATACACCCTACTTTCCAAGGGAGGTTTCTTGAAACCAGTGAAGGGCTCTTGATCTGAGAAAGGACCTGCTTTCTTAGAGCAAACCTGATTTCTTCCAATTCCTCAGGGTCTGAATGACTTAGCATTTCCCCTTCAAATGCAATAATACTTATAAATACCTCCTTTCCCTCCCACTCTTCATTTGGCCACTTTAGAGGGGGAATTTCCTCTTATGATAATCAACCTTTAGTTAAAAAAAGGAGAGAATCCTACCTGTTCCAGTGCACATCTCTTTGGTGGTGCTATCATGACATTTGTTTGAGGGAAATACTGTGCAGTCCTCCGGCAACCCTAGAGGACGGCCTCACGTCCTTTCATGATGAGAGTGCAATGATGCCTGTGTGTAATGGACTCCAGGGAAATAGGCAAGTTTATTCAGGCATACACAAATATAGTTACATAGATTACCATACATAGCAGCATATGTGTAGAGAACCTAGGATAACCCAAAGAAAGGGAGGGGGGGTGCCTGTTTATTAAGCAAAAATCTGTTGTATCAAAATATCTGCTACAACAGATATGGTTGGATGTTTGCCGAGTCTACTGGACATGCACACCGCTACAAAGACAAAGCTTGAAGCAGCAGACTTGGTCTGTTGAATGGGAACCCCTCAAAGGAGGTTCCTTGATGCTGGTGAGGGGCTATTGATCTGGGGAATTGGATCTGTGCTCTAGTTCCTTAAATTGAGCCTGAATACCTTCCATCTCCCCCTCCCCACATGCGCTGTACAATTCTACGGGTTTAGTGCTCCCCTGTGATTATAATCCCCTCAAGGAAGGTTCCTTGATGTTGGTGAGGGGCTCTTGATTTAGGGAATTGGATCTGTGCTCCAGTTCCCCAAATTAAGCCTGAATGCCTTCCACATCCCCCCCCAGGCGCTGTATAATCCTCCGGGTTTAGCGCTTCCCCCTTGATTGTAATAATAATAATAATGTGATTATAATTATAATGTATGGGAAGCCTATGCACGCATGCGGGCGTGCACGCGCGCACACACTGGGGAAGGTGAAAGAATACAGGCTAGGGGGCCAAAGACTGCAAACCTCATTCAAAGAAAAGGATCTGGGGTGAGTATAATACCGAGCACATCTGAGGCACAACCACCAAACCTGGCAAACCTGAGAATAGCATTTTGACACCTGAGTAACAAATCATTCAAGACTCTGTACACCATATATGTCAGGTCCATATTAGAGTATGCAGCACCAGTATGGAACCCACATCTGGTCAAGCACGTTAAGAAATTAGAGAAAGTGCAAAGGTTTGCAACAAGACTAGTCCTGGAGCTAAGGGGTATGTCCTATGAGGAGAGGTTAGGGGAAATCAACCTGATGATACTGGAGGATATGGGAGATAGGGAGGACATGATAATGACATATAAAATACCGAGAGGAATTGACAGGATGTTTCAGAGATGAGACACAGCAACAAGGGGACACAACTGGAAGCTGAAAACTCAGACGAGTCACAGGGATGTTAGGTAATATTTCTTCAGCCAGAGAGTTGTCAGAAGTGGAACAATCTGGAGAGTGATGTAGTAGAGGCAGGATGCATACTACATAGCTTTAAGAAGAGATACGACAAAGCTCACGGAGCAGGGAGAGTGGACCTAGTAGTGACTAGCAAAAGGGGGAGCCAGAAGCTGTGACTCGACTGCTATATATCCCTTGTGGCTTAGCGCTTCTTTTTGATAATAATAATAATAATAATGTGACTCGACTCCCTGCAACCACAAATATGCGAGTACACACTCACACACACACACAGACACACACTCTCTCTCTCTCTCTCTCTCTCTCTCTCTCTCTAGGCTTCTCTCTCCATCTCCCTTTTTCTATATTTCTACCCCTCCCTCGCATTTCTCTCTCTCATAGCCTTTTCCCTCACCCTCCTTTCTCTCTCTCTCTCCCTCTCTTTCTCCC